GAGGAAGAGGCCGGAGCCGGAGCGGGGCGGCCCGCGGGGGGCCAAGGTGCGCACAGGCCAGGGCAGAGCGTGGCCCTTGCCCCGGAGCAGCGCGGCCGCCCGGGCTGGGAGCGGGGCTGCGCCCCGTGGGCTCCGGGGAGGGGGCGCTCTGGCCGCCTTCAACTGCCTGAAGCGGGGGTGAAAGAGGATGGAGCCGGACTGCTCTCAGTGGGGGCAGATGACAGAACAAGGAGCAATGGGCTCAAGTTGCAGCATGGGAAGTTTAGGTTAGATATTAGGAATAATTTTCTCACTAGGAGAGTAGTAAATCACTGCAACAGGTTATCCAGAGAGGTGGCGGACTCTTCATCCTGGGAGGTTTTTAAGACCCGGCTGGACAAAGCCCTTGGCTGGGATGATCCAGTCGAGGATGGCCCTGCTTCGAGCAGGGGGTTGGAGTCGATGACCTCCTGACGTCCCTTTCAACCCTTCTATGATTCTGGGTAGCTATTAGATATAGATGTCTGTCGTTTTATAGAAGCAGAGGGCTGGCTGTTCCCCTTTAAAATGTTGCTGAGATTTTATTGCATTACTTTATGCTAAAAAGTAGAACTTTCTCATCTGCTTGCAGACCTGTCGTCTGCCGCTAGTCACCCCGAGTCGTTGTCACCCCGGAGTTCTTGGCACGGTCTAAAGCATTTGCTGTTTGCAACCTAAAACATCTTCACGAGCAGTTTGGACAGATTCAGCATGGGGGCCTTAGTACCCGACTTCCGCTGAATTTGTTAGTTTTGGGATGTGCGAATCCAAGGGCAAAAGCCTGTAGCAGAGAAGGGTTTGGCCCCAGATTTCCCTGCACTGAGCATTTGCAGCTTAGGGGTTTGTGACGTGCCCATCTCCAACCAAAGGAAATTAATTTATGATCCTAGACAAGTGCTATTATTTGATTAGATCTAAGTGACTTTATCAGCTGGAAGTGATGATAAACTTGACTTCAGCTAGGAAAACTTGCAGCCATGAATATCCACCTGAAGGTCCTCCATAAAAAAAATTTTCAACATCCGCTCTCTGCCGTCGTGTGACACAGGCCTATTTGTCACCTTCAGGGACATGGGGCTAGGCCCACCAAGTAACCTAGTGGCTCCCACAGGTGCGGAGGTTACAGAAAAGGTGATAACTGATTACCGGGGACAAATAATAAAAGAACAGGGACAAGAGTGCTGGTCAAAGATTCATAACCAGAGTGCCAAGCGGGGGACACTGAGCCGAGCACACCAGACAGTGCCCACTGGCCCCTGAACAAGTCCAAGGAGCCAGTGGACGCTGCCCAGTGATACTGTGCCTGGAGAAGGGAATGAACTGGGGCAAGGAAAGCAGCCCCTGGTCCCTGGGGACCTTCCCAGCCAGAGCCTCCCTGGTCAGCTACATGGCCAGCTTGGCCAGGGCCAGGAGGAGGTTGACCAGGAGGTCCCAGGACTTGATGGGGCTATGGACAGGGAGTACATAAGTCAAGAGGCTAGGAGAACAGTGCAGCCAGACCCTCAGCAAGAGATTCTGGAGGTCCATGTGACAGAATAGTGGGCAAGGTGGACCTAAGGACCAACCCAGTAAATGGCAGTTGTTATGTTCTTAAATATATCTTACCAGCAACCAGGGACTTCTGAAGTCAACATGACCATACCAGCAATTTCAGAGCAATGCTATATCGGAATACCTCAGTGAATTTACACCTGTTAGAAGGTGAAGCAAGGTCATATGACACAAGCTCAGAGCTCTAATGGCACAGTACATTTTTAGATATAACACTTAAAATTAGCATGATAGCCAACATGTGAAAAGATTAAGCATGTTAACTGTGGAAGCTGAGTCTTATTTGCATCTAATTAGAGGCTGAAAGACCTGCAAGTTGCCAAGTAATCTTTGAACCCGAAACTGCTGCTGGCTGTTTTGTAGATTTCTAATTAGAGCTCATCTAAACAATAGTGTTACTGCATGTTTGTCCACCCTGGCACGAAAGAAGAGAAGCAATGTAATTATGAGTCAACTGATGTAAGAATTGCTTTACTAAAAAAACAAACCACTTGAAGCTCATATTTTTTTATCTTGTTTCTTATTTTATATTTAAATGGTTTTAAAAGATGTGCCAACATTATTCTATGTTAGCAGATTTTACTCATTCAATATAATATGACAAAGGGCATGTTAACATAATGAAGGATTTGATATTTTATCTCGGGGCAGAGGGTCAGTGCCAGACACATGGGCACTTCTGTGCTAGCGCAGCCCAGGCTGGGACTAGAGTTGGGGCTACCCTGCCATATGACCCGGGGTGTGGTCCTGGGTTTTGTCAACAGTAGGTAGGACTGGATGACCCCCTTCACAGGCCAATTCAAACCCATACATGTGGGTGTCAGGTCACAGGGCAGGATTACCATCCCCAATACGTGTGTTGCTGGCTCTTTTGCTGTTTGCTGGCTAGTCCTGGCCTCTCCTCCTACTTCACAGCCTTGGAGACTCTTTAGCTTTTTTCAAAATCAAAGTTTTCAAGAGCAGCTAGGGTTTCAACTTTAAGGAAGAAAGGAAGGGTGAGTCAGCTGAAGATTAGGCTACAGGGTATGAATTATTTTCCAGGGCATGTTGTATGTGAGAAGATATGGTATTATTTATTTTAAATGTTCTTAATACCTATGTAGACTGTGAAGGGCCACTTTCATCCTAATCCCTTGCCTTTTTACAATGAACACTGTTGCTTGGTACACATGAATGGTTCTTCACATGGGCTCACCTTTCTTAGGAGAAGAAGGCACGCTTGTCAGCAGAATTGTTTGGTGAGGACTGTAAAATCAGCCATGACCAGGTGTATGAGTTCTTGAAGTACGCAGCTTTGGGAAAACATCACAATGCAGCTCAACCCAGGTATATAATGTATGTTTGCATTCTGGCAGCAGTTTCATAGTTTTCATAGATGTTAGGGCTGGAAGGGACCTTGGAAGATCATCAAGTCCAGCCCCCTGCCCAAGGGGCAGGAAGTCAGCTGGGGTCATAGGATCCCAGCAAGAAAAACATCCAGGTTTCTCTTGAAGGCGTTCAAAGTAGATGCTTGAACCACCTCCAATGGCAGGCCATTCCAGACCTTGGGGGCTCGGACAGTAAAGAAGTTCTTCCTTATGTCCAGCCTGAAGCAGCTTGTACTGTTGCTAGCCTACTGAAAGTCCCATAGGTTAATGTTTTGTTTTGGGGGGGGTTTATATACTTTGCAACAGTCACCATCCTGACCTTCATATATTACTGCATCTGTATGCATACTATATAACTTGAGCTGGCTGAAATACAGAATTTTCACTATGAAAAAATTCACTGTTTTGGAACTTTGTTTCACCTGGATTGGGGCAAAAACACCACTACATTTTTTTCACAGAACAACAGTTCCAAAAATGTACAGTGTCAGAAACATTAAAATGAAACAGTTCACACTGGAAAATGTTGGAACATTTTGTTCTATGCAATGTGCTGTCTCAAATATCAGAATGACATTTTTTCAGCCTTTTTGACCTGAATTTTAGTACCTCATTTAGAGTGTAAGAACATAGGCATCTTGGATGAGATGATGCCTGATGGCTATAGGGGAACTCAAAAACAAGACTAAATATTGAAAACAAAATACCTGATTTTATTTCAGGCTATTTAAAAATGGTTTTCAGCAAATACATTTTTGGCAATAAATTCTGCCAGAATTTTTTCCTCCCAGATTTAATGGTTGTAGCTTTATTTGGATGTTTTCTATTCATATTTGTATACTACATTGAAAAAAGGCAAGTTGTATCTTGGAAATGAATACTATTGTAGAGCTTGGCTACACAGTGTCTTTGTTGTCTGCTGCATATGGAGGTCCTTATGTGGAGCAAAGAAGATGCATGGGAGTGAAATTCTGTTCTTGTTGGAGATGGTGCGAGTTATGCCATTGATTTGTACAAGAACGGGACTAGGCCCATGTTTTTAAAACTGTTAACTGTTTTGCTTTAATTTTGATGCAGCTGGTGTCATATTCATCACCAAAGACGCCTGGCTCGGGTTGTGGTCATTGTTCTACATGAAGTGAGCCAGCTTCACTTCTACAGGTTCTATTTACAGTTCAGACATCTCAGAAAGTCATTCCCGCATGTAAGTCTCAATTTCATTTCTACTCATTGGAACTTGGTAGTCAATGATAAACATGTAGCATTGTTCAGTCACTGCAATGAAATTATTCTGCTTGCAGTAAATAAAGATTTCTGATTTTCAGGGAACTATGATAAAATAATTCCTCTCCTCCCAGCTTCTGCTAATGCAGGAGTAAAGGACTAATCTCTGCTGTTTATGACTTGCAGCTTTTAAAGCTTTAAAATGTGAAATTAAATATTTCAGAATTATGTTCTTCTCATCTTACAATATCCTCACTGTCCTGAAATCTCTCAGATTTAAGGCTCGTGCTCAGTTATTGCTAGCAGAAATCAGCCCTTGTGTTGATTTATACTACCTGAAAATCTGGCTCTGAATATTTGCCAACTGTGCTGAGTCTTATAGTAACAGTTCCTCTCATTTCTTGGAAAGAATACTGCCAATGTAAAGCACAGGAGTTTTTTTTTAAGTTGCCTGCCTACATTTCAGTTCTTCTATAAATCTGTTAATATTAAGAAATGTCTTTTGAATCACTAGAATCTTAGAAAATTCTTCCATAACTGCAGCAAATGCAAGTCTCTTATTTACAGCAGCTTCTAAACTTTCCAGGAGGAAACAGACATCAGTTTTATTTCTCCCAGTGAGTCTCTCCTCCTCTGGGAAGTCAAGTTTGTACAGTACTATGATGATTGAGTAGATACAGAAGCATCCTGTATTTTTCTGCTAAATCATTGTGATGGTTCTTTGAAAATTCATTTTTCTTTTTAAGAAATAGGAGCCACCCTCAGATACATAGACAGAGGGAGGAACTACATTGCCCAGTTGCCCCTGTTTATTTTCTTTCTTTTAAAAAAGGTGAACAACATTCACTGCCTCTTGTTCTTTACTACCCTTTTAGCAACAGTAACCAAAACTCTACTTAAGAGTATAGTGTGCAAGTTATGCACACTCTGTATAGTGACTGATGCATCATACGGTAGCTAGTTTAACAAGTTATTTGCAATCTACTTTCGTTCAGTGGAAAAAATTGCACAGAAATGACAAGGTCCGTGTTCTGTGTCCAACTTTCCCAGGCTCAGTATATGCAATCCTTCCCTGAATTTGATGGAATTACACTAAGGCTGCATCTGGTACTTGGATGAGATTCAAAGATAAAGTGACAGTATTTCATAATATTGTACTTTCTTTGTGCTTCAGTCATCTAACACATTCTTTTTTTATTGTTAAGAGATTCAGTTTACCGCCTGATTCAGCTAATTTTATAGCCAGCATGTGCAGAGAAGGAGTGAGTGCAAAACACCATAACAGTGCACAAGGTATCCAGACAATATTTGCTTGAATATTTCTAAATATGATAGGAACTCATGTAATTGGCATACATTGTCTTCTTAAGCTAAATTGTGTTTTATGCACCAATGCAAGATACAACTTAATCGCCAGTGGAACTGTGAAATAAACAGCTCCAGCTAATTCTTTCTTTTGCTTATTATAAAAATAAAAATGAAGGTTTAGCACCACAAAATTGTAAAGGGGCCAATAGAGAAAGCACTGCAAATTTAGATTGTTACAAGTATTCAAAGGTGCATTCTAAAATGTATCTAGTAAAAGATACAGAGTGGTGAAATGGATTCAGCCTCACTGGGAATTAAATTCCTTTTTCCCCATATTAGTTGTCTTCATGCTGATCAGTGAATTGAGACAAACTATAGGTATATCAGCAGCTTACTTTTTTGTTTTTATCTTCCCTGTGGTGCTAGTTTAGGGGTGGGCAAAATGCAGCCCAGGGGTCGATGTGGCCGCCAGGCCATTCTATCTGACCTGCAGGGCCCCTAAAAAATTTAGAAAATTAATATTTTCTAAATTTCTAATATAATTCAGGATGCCTGTTATGCGGCCCTTGATGGCTTGCAAAACTCAGTAAGCAACCCTCTGCCCGAAATAATTGCCCACCCCTGTGCTAGTTCTAGCAAACTCTAGGGCCTGGTTTTGCATGCTTTAGTTGAGGAAACTGCACGGAAGTCAATGGAAGTTCTTAGTGAATGGGCCTTTAATGTGGAAATTAGTAAGGCTAATTTTGCAATTTATTGATAGAGTTCTAAACCCTGAACAAAAGAGTAGTTTAGTCCTAGACTGGGGATATCATATGCGTTTTTCCTGCAGTTTTTTTGAGAGTAAGTGACTAGGAATCCTAATAATAGGAAAGATGATTTACTCTGAATTAGGTCCTAGGTTCAGTTCCCAATTTACTTTGTCACTGTGAGCTGGTCATTTAACCCATCTTGTATACCCTTTTATTATCTACAAAAATGGGGCTAGCACCTCCCAGAGAGATTACAAGGATTAAAACCATACTTTGAGAGAGACTCAAGTATGCCAATGGGTAGGTAAGAAACTGGACAGTTAAATTAAGCATTCCAATCGCTTCTTTTTTTAAAGCAGTGCAACACATTCCTAATCCTACTGAAGGGAAAAAGATAACTTCTTAGAACAAGGTAGCGGCAACAATAATTCTTCATATAACTAAAAAAACCCTAAAGCAATTACCTTGCTTTTTACATATTGCTTATGTGAAGGAGGTCCATCACTACTTCCCCTACTTTGCAGCTAGGTGAAGTGACTTGCTTAGGTCACCTACCAGAGACAATAGCAGAACCAGTAATAGAAGTAGGTTTAGTGCTCCCAGGAGCACTGCCTCCCACAGGTGTGAAATGCCATTAGTGTACATTAGTGACAGCAGCTTTCCTGTTGCTTGGGAATAATATATGATCTTTTTTGCCACTTTTTGAATACACAATTGTTTCATATTACAGCGTCACCTCATGTCTCCAATGGACATATCCTTAAGAGCGCCAACTTGGAACGAGACCCCATTGTTCAGAAATATGGAGAAGAAAAACATGGTCTTACCACCTACACTCTAACGGTGCAAGAGATGAAAGAAAATAATTATCCTTTAGAAGGTCAGGCTATTCTGACAGTAAATTTAAAGGCCTATGTTTTTCAGTGGGATTTGGGGTACTCAAGGAACACAGGCTTTATATCAACTCATCTCCAGCCTTTTCTTAACCTTTGTGCATCAAGTTACACATAAGACGTTACTTCATCTTGTTCTCAGACATCTTTATATTTCTTCTTAGGATCGCCTGGGTGTCTACATTTTGTCCACACTGAATGCAACAGCCCAAGGACAGACAGCAGCCCCCTCTTTGGGTTGGATTGTGAAATGGTATTAAAATATCTGTAGTTGTAAGGGGGATAGGAAGTCAGTTACAGGACCTCTGCCTGATCCAACAGGCCAACTACTCTGTTCTAGAATACACCTACCAGGAGAGATACAGTAGGAAAAGCATCTGCTACCACCTGGCAACAACAGTTCTTTCTGCAGTAGTGCGAGTGGAGCTGTGCTGTTGCAGCAGTGGGAGAGTTCTCAAGAAATGGCAGTGTAGACAAGGTGCGTGTGTGAACTCCCCCAGCTCAGAGCAGTGCTTGGCTCTGCAGGGATTCTCAGCACAGCAGAATGCAGAGGAAAGGACAGGTGGATCCATTGCAAGGCAGATGCTCCTAGTCCCTGTAGAGGAGACATGTAGCAGCTCCCAGATCTTCACCAAGCTTTGCTTCCTTAAGGAAAAATTCCTTTTCATTGCACCTCTCCACTCTCCATTTCAGCTATCCTGGATTTACCCCTGGGTGCAGTTCTAAATGCAAGAAGAAGCCTTGCTTGGGCCTCACTACCGACTTTCAGAATGTGCACTTGCTTCAGCCTTTTTTGGCAGAGCAGCTATAAAATGCAATTAGCTGGGGCTTTCAGGGGTATGAAGTACAAAATGACTTTGTGACATCAGCTCTCCCTCCTCAAGATTTACTCTATGATTGGGTGCACTACACTTGTAACAGGCATCAAACAATCAACATTTGCATTGTTTAAAAAAAATAAAATAAAAAAGTAACAAATGGACAGCTCTCTAGACAGGACACTGGATTAATGGTAAAAGTTACTGCAGGCAGGGTGGGCTTTAATCAGCGAGTGCATGTCAGACAATGGAATGGCAGCAAAATCATTTCTGATCTTGACCAGTGTCTCTGCCATTTTATAATTTGGCAGTGCCTCACTACGAAGGGGAACGAAGTCACCCGAGTCTCACTGGTGGATGCACAGGGCCAATGCCTCCTGGATGAGTTTATAAAACCTGAGACCCAGATTCTGAACTACTTCACCAGGTATCCTGCCTAGAAACGTCCTATATACCTTCTTACTTTAACACTTAAGAGCCATTCAGCCTGAGCCTGCTTCATGTGGTCTTTGTAAACCCTAGCTGCAGTTGTAGTTTCATGGTAAATATAACTTCTGTGCATTTCCATGTGAGTTGCCTGTTCTGTTTCAACTAGTGTTAGAACAAACAGTTTACAAAATGTGGATATTACCACATATTGGATACACACTTGTCTACTATACAATCCACTGGATCTTGGCAGAGGGTTAGAGCTGTTATGCAATGTTTAAAAAAAAAAAAAAAGCCTGAGTTACAGGTTAATGAAACATAGTGCAGGTTACTTTTTTTTTTTTACTCTTGGTTGTAGAATAGAATATAGTGTTAGTAACAACAAGGAAGCTGCAATCCAGATCTATCTGCTCTGGGGCTCTGTTTACTCATGTAAAAGGAGAGAGACTTTGTCCAAGCTTCCATTTCTAGTGTGGAGACACTTAAAAGTTTCACAGTGAAACCAGGCAAAAAACTCAAGCCACATTTCCTCCAAAACTTTCATATTTGACCTAGTTTCAGGCTGCAGCACAAAGGCCTTCCCTCTCATGCTCCCTATAAGGCCCCCCTACACATTGTAGGTATTGAGCAGTTAACTGGTTAATTGCACAATTATCTCAAGACCAGCTACACATGCAGAGTAGCTATCACGCAATAAAAAGCTCCAACCAGCTATAAATTAGACCTTGAAAACGTACTAAATTTATAACTGGTTACTATCAAGCTTTAATTTGCACATGTAGCAGGCTCTTCCCTACAGTTGGGAGGCCCATCAGCTGACAGGGATCCCAGCTACAAGGGTGTACCTTGCCCAGTGTAAAACCCCCAAGCCCTGGGGATTGCAGCTACCATGATCCCCAAGGCTTAGGGGTGCCTGAAACTCCCCAGCCCACATGGGGCTCTCAGTCCCAGCTATGCCTCATGCAGCAGGGGCTGAGAGCCTCACAACTGATGGGACTTCCACTATGCCTTACACACAGCCAGGACCAAGAGACCCTGTAACTAACAGTCAGTTGCAGGGCTTTCAGTCCCAGCTGCATGTGAGGCACAGCCAAGGCTGAGAGCCCTGTCAGTTGTGGAGTTTTGGCCCTGGCTGTGTGTAGTCCCCATAGCTGGGAGACCCCTCAAAGGCAATAAAATTCCCCCTGCACTGGCAATAAGGTATGACTGGATCTAATGTGCAATCTCATAATCACGCCTTGTGCCATACTCGTGTAGCATAGCACGAGGCACGATATGTGGATCACACATTAGATCCAATCGCACCTTTACCTGAACATGTAGAGGTCTGTCTCCTTGATCCAGTCTGACCGTTTACCTGTGTAGTTTTGACAGGGATGGAACTTAATCATTTATACAAAGGTTTGTATTAAGAAGGACAAGCCTCTGCAGAGGCCAACACAATCCTAGTGCTATTAATTTAACATAAATTTCACCATGTCCTCACAGAGGCATTTAAACAGGAAGCCACAGCTATAATCCTGTGCTATACTATTATAGTTATAGTTCATTCATCTCACTTGTCTTGCTTGAAATGCTTTTTAGTAAACAGAGTTGCTAATGTTTTGGTTTGCCTCTTACAACTTCTGCTTTGAAGGTACTCAGGAATCACAAGGAAGATTCTTCTTCCAGTGAAAACCAAACTTGCAGACGTCCAGGACAAACTAAAGAAATTGCTTCCCCATGATGCAATATTGGTGGGTCACTCTTTAAATGCTGATCTCCAAGCTTTACAAGTGAGTGTGCTCTTAAATGCATTTTCTCCACTCCCTTTACCTGCTGCATTCATATCTAAAACCAAAACAATTCCATGATGTATTGTAATTTTTTATTACTACCAGCCTTTCCCTAAGATGGGGTTAAGGCTCTCCAAGAGAGATGTGTTACCAATTGGGATGTTCAAGAAACACAGAAGTTGTAAAGCTAGAAAGCTGTATTTCAAAAGTGCAAGTCTGTCTAAAATAGATCGGCCTGTGACTGCTCCTCTCCCAGACTACTGGAAGGAGCACAAAGCCTGAAACTTGTTACTTCTGTCTTCAAATTATACAAATTGGTCCAGTAAGGATACTAACTCGTGCTTTGCCAGAAATAGATAAGACTCCAGCTGTATCCCTCTTTCTTTCCATTTGCTTGCTAGGAGCCATTCATATTTTTATTCCAACACAGCTATTAAGTCTTTCCTATGGTAAATTTAAGTGACCATAAAATGCTCTGGGGTGACTGGATCTGAGCACCTTCTGCTAGTTTGTTTAGGAGAAGGGATTGCAGACCAGTCCTATGACACTGCTGTTGTTCTTAAATCATATTAGTCATGTTTCCTCTTTTCCAGATGATCCATCCCAGTGTTATTGACACTTCATTGCTTTTTGCCAGAAGTGGAGGTCGAAGATTCAAGTTAAAATTCTTAGCAAAAGCTGTTTTAGGGTAAGTGTCTTACAGTGCTCCCCTTGTGCATGCCACTGGGGAGCATATGGCTTTATCAGTTAACTTTTACACCTGAATTACCAGTTTCTTAAAACTTGGAAAGAAATCAGATCATGCATATGTACAAAATACATGCACTGAATAATTAGCCATGCTAGCACTACCTTCATTTTTCAACCCTCTTCCTACACACACACACACCCACCAATTTAGATAAGAATGTAAGACGTATCAAAAGTCTACTTAGCCCAGTATTTTGTCTTAGACAGCATCAAACAGCAGACACTTTAGAGGAAAAACAGAAGCAAAAAAGCTTGTGTGAAGTGATCCATTACCTGTCAAGATTAGGACTCTTACATGGTGATATATATATTACACAGTATATATCTAAATCTAAATGGATATGACAAAGGCTCTTTATCTGCACTTGACAGATAGGAAGTTGAAGCCCAAAGCAAATAAGTGACTTGCCTAAAAGTAATATAGGGAATTTGTGACATGAGCAGATTTGCTGAGTCTTGCTCCACTGCATTAACATCAGGTCTGTTCTTTTTCTAATTGGGCATAATTGCAATGTGCTAAATCTTATCCCTAAAAAGCAAAGATACGGTATAACAACTCTGGAGTTTATAGTTCACATGAATTACTCAAAGGCTTGTCGCGAATTAGCAAGAGTGCGCCGATGCAAAAAAGTAAGGATAATCCATCATAAAATGTGCTTTGTTAATTTGACAAGATTAGATTTAGTGGCTACTGATATTCCAGCCCTCAGCTGACAGCATATTTTGTAGGAATAAGGTATTCCATAGTAGCACAATTACTTTCTACAATTAAATTCTCTGTGAGAAATAGGAGATTGCAAACTATGTGGTAGCATAACTAGTAAAGCATAGATGGTGAAGGCAAATAGCAAAGGTGCATCAAAGCATGATATGTGTGTATCACTGTATCTATTAAATCTTTAGTATCCAAAATGTAAGCGTTGCAATAAGGTTATACTATGGTGGCTTTATGGAACATTTCATGAGAATGGCAACTCACAGAATTGAAATATAACAAACTTGCTGTGAGGAGAAAAATAAGTCACCTAAAAAGAACAAGTTACAAGGCTTAAAAAAAAAAAAAAAGGTAATATACTGTATATTCTAGAGTGAGGAAAAAGTGATAACTTGTCTGTACTGACATTTCAGGAAGGAAATTCAGTGTGAAAACAAGCTTGGTCATGATCCAACAGAAGATGCTCAAGCTGCACTTGAACTGGCTCAGTACTTCATTAAACAGGGGCCTTGCAAGGTTTGAAATTATGTTGTTGTTTGAAATTATGTTGGTTTCAGTTTGGGGGGGTTTTTTGTCTTAAAGACCTTAAGATCAAAACACATTTTACAGGCTTCATAAAGAATTTAATGTGGACTACTCCTGGTTGCTTTTATGTTTAATTGATGTAGTTTTGATCTTAGGTCCTGGGCTGCAGTCTAGGAAGATAATGTTTTGGACTTTGCTGAAACTACTAACATGTGAAGAGTTAGAAATGTATTGCTTAGTTAGGTCAGCATTGAGGATCTAGGTGAGGGCCATTTCCCACTAGTGGAGTACATGGGCATTTGAATAAATTTCCATTTTACTAGAACTTGATCAGTCTCCAGGCATGGTCCAATTATATATAAAGATCTCGTATAGTGCATCTCTTCCCTTTGACTGTATTTTCCCCACTTGATTTCAGTTCTTTGTCTTGGATTTTAGCCGTCTTAAGGCACCTGCTCATCACTGCAGTGGATTGGCTATTTGTACAATGCTATCCCTCAAGTCTTTAGTTTCATACTCTAAGAGATGTCTTAGAGACAGATTGGGTTGATGCCTGTGGTGCTGTATGCTTCAAAGTAACCTTGAAGAATTAGTTATTACCAATGTGTGTATCTCAAGGTAGAAGAACTAAACTTGGAGACACTGCTAATTGCTCAAAAAGCAAGTGAGATCTCACAACAGAAGTCCACCTTATACCTACAGCTGAATGGAGTCCAACAGCAATCAAGCAAAGGTTCCAGCATACCCCAGCTATGGTAATAGTCCACACCCCATTCATCTACATCACTGGATTTAGTTCTTTCTGAAATGATATTGTAATATGCATTATATTTTCTGTCAATATTTCTCCTTCCCATTAGTAATTTTCAACGGGAAAAAAATATTTTATGAAAGAAATCACTAATCTAATAGTTTTAAATTTCAAATCTTAGATTTGATATAATGTTTTTTGTCATTTTCTTTATACAGTAAAATCCCTGTTATCCAGCATGAGTGGGGAATGCCAGGTGCTGGTTATGTAAAAATTCCAGTTATCTGAGGCAGATAATGGGGGGGGGGGGGGGAGGGGGCCG